ATAAGTGGATGATTGTACATGTAATGTTTGCAAAAACTTACACATGTTCAAAAAACTGAATCCAATTGCTCACCATTGAACATGTAACATTGTACAATACTCAACACATTTTCCCAATTGTAATATGAAAAAAAAATACATGCTCAAAAATTCACAAGTTCAAAACGGACACATTTTCCCAACACTCTATACTTCAGCATTCTTCAAGACTAGTTTATATAATCCTTGCATTTGTTTCTCCATTGCAAAAGAAGTCACACATGGTATAATTTTGTAAATGAATTAGCGCCCGCTTGGAACTCTTTTTCAACCTTACATTTTAAGTCATTCGTCATCTTGAAGTGAATACATGCGATTAATACACAACACATAGTCAGAACACATATTTGGTACAAATAACATATGTGAGGCATAGTCAATTTGTCTGGCACAACCAACTTTTGTCGGGCCGTGAGATAGAGAGTAGTTAATTGGCCCAGACTACTAATGTCTGGCCCAGACAAAATTTGTCTGGCTGTAAGACAGAGAGTAGTTAAGTGGCACAGACTACTAATGTCTGGCCCAGACAAAATTTGTCTGGCTGTAAGACAAAGAGTAATTAATCAACCTTGTCACCTTCATCTCCCCATGTCAAGCCATCCAAAAGAACCTCATCACTAAAGTGGGATACTTCCTTTCCCATGATATCCATCCAAGAAGATCAAGGAAAGAATGGAAAAAAGTCTTGAATTTCAACAAAAACTTCATTGAGTAATTTCTACAAACATGTTATGGGCATAAAATGAATTAGAGAAATTACACTAAAATTTTAATTAATTAACACCTCAAAATCATTACAATGAAACAAACTAATCAATTATTCACTTTTATATCATACATAAAAGTTGTCTGGTCACACACACATTTTATGTACGACTCTAACTCATATAAAACCATGTTCACTTCAAACAACTATGAAACCGCTTTCACTTTAGGCTAGACAGACACTGCATTTCCATAATGTCTGTCCGCCAAACAAAATACAAACAAATGACAAAAAACAACATACTCTTCTCCAAGACTTCAACGTCCACACCTTCATCATCTTCTTCCATTGAAGTCGTCGCTACTTCAACAGCGACCGGAGATGGCAGATTTCCACCTTCACCCACGTCATCAAGCTTGTGACCTTCATCTTCCCATGTCAAGCCATCCAAAACAACTCATCGCTAAACTCGGATACTTCCTTCCCCATATATCCATCCAAGAAGATGAAAGAAAGAAGCAGGTGAGAGGATGGGTTGAACACTGTAGCAAGTTTTGAAGGAGGAGAGGTGTTTTGGCGTAAAGTTGAGGAGTGGGTTGGGGAGATGTGAGAGAGGTGAGAGAAAAGTATTTTTGGAAAGGAGTAAAAAGGATGGTAAAAAAAATGGGGTATTTATATGGGATAGGAAATGGGGTAAACTTGTGGTACTTATAGCATTTTTGGAAGCTTCGATCACTACATTCCTCTCTGAGTTACTCTGTACACTAACTAAGCACATTCACTTTGCTGCTATTTCACAGCCCTCGAATTTCTGAAAAATCATATCCCTCCTCTCATTCCAAGGTACGCACTTATATTTGTGATTGGCAAATGGCTCAATGCTACTGGTTGATTGCGATGTAGAGTTAGTACAACCTGTTGTTCAGTCACTGATTGTTCTATTGCATTGCTCAGAAGTTTGATTCTGTTTATAGCAATTCGGAATTTGTTTAATTTTTGGTGAAACATTCGATAAGATTTGTTTTTTTTTAAATGCATCACATATTTCTGGGAACTTGTTGAAGTCTCACGCAGGAAAGCTATAAAATAATAAAACACTATATAAGGAGGCTTTGAGCTACTCCTCCTTTCCTCCTTTCAGGTTGACGTTTTAGGATGGAACCCCGGGTCTTAACAGAACTCATGAAATGTTAGGGCTGATTATTATCTTTATCTTCACATTGTCAACAGGGACTCAAACCGCCAGTGGCCCAGTACTGAGGTGGAATGACCTAGTCCTTTTATTACAGTTGCATCTGGAAGACTAGATTTTTGGTTTTTAGATACCCAAGTTGACTTCAAAATGCGTAAAACATGAGCGGTTATTAGTTTGACTGACGATAAAGCAAATTGATCCCTGTCAGCACTCAAATTAGTTCTAGAAAATAAAATTTACATATTCAGAAACTACATTAAAACCACTACAAAGTCTGCAAAAAATAATTCAAATTTCATAAAATTTTTATTTATAAAATAAAAAATGGAGTGATTTATGTTGACCAAGTGAATAGTAAATGTATCTTACAATTTGAGACTGAGGGAGTATTTATTTTCCATATGTGGCTATAGGTCGGTTGTAGTATATGGTTATGGATCATCCGCTCAGAAGCTTGCCTAACTCCTCTATGAACAGTTTCGAGTTGGAGAATGAGATCATTTTCTCTACCTTTAAACCATCAGTGGACATTCCAGACAGTTACAAGCATGCCCTTTCAGTGGCACAACATCCCAACCTGGGCACTCATGATCCTGCTTTGGACTCTGATTCCACGCTGAACTACATTAGCCAGATGCTACTGGAGGAAGAGAGCATTGATGGGAACAATCAGAACATGTCCTTTGATCCCATTGCTCTTAGAGCTGCTGAGAATGCCTTTTATGAAGCCTTGCATGAGAACCCTTCCCCACCTATTCACAACATTCCTGGAAGCTTATTCAGGAATGATGTTGATCCAGGAGAATGCGAATCATGTGTTACGAGTGAGCCTCCCCCCGATCTCGCCATCAAGTTATCATCCGGTTTGTCAAACGGTTCTCTATATAGCTTTGGTGATAGTGATTCCATATCTCGATTCATGAGAGGTGCGGCTGAATCTAGTAGATGCCTTCAAGCTGCCCCTAAACAGCATATCATCAATGACTTGGAGAAACATGAGGAGTCACCGAGAGATATTGATGTCCCCAAGATAGATAAGGACCGTTCAGTGAATTCGTACCGTAGAGGAAAGAAGCATTATTACCATCCAGATGAAAGTGGGGTGGAAGAAGAAAGGATAAACAAGCAGCCTGCACTTTGTAAGGAGGAAGTTGAGTTATCAGAGGATTTTGATAATGTTTTGCTGTGTGGTGAAGATGATGATGGTGATGATAGTGCTTCTCTATCCCGACTCGGACAAAAAGGACAAAGTGGCCGCCGCCATCTTAAGAAACGCGGAGGTAATTGTGAAACTGTGGATCTGGTGTCTCTTTTAATTAGCTGTGCACAATCTGTTGCATATGCTGATTATAGGGGTGCAGAAGATAAATTAAAAAAGATCAGGCAGCACTCTTCACCTACAGGTGACCCAAATCAAAGAGTGGCTAATGTATTCGCTGATAGTCTGGAGGTGCGGTTGGCTGGAACTGGGACACAAGTATATAAAGCAATGTCTAATAATGATGTCCTAGTCCCTGAGTTGCTAAAGTCCTACCTGTCACCTTTGCCGTTTATGAGAATGGCAGTTTTCTTTGCGAATAGAATGATTTACGAAGTAGCGTCAAAATGTGTCTCACTGCACATTATAGACTTTGGGATTCATTATGGTATCCAGTGGCCCACTCTTATCCGGGACCTTTCTCAAAGACCTGATGGCCCGCCTAAACTTCGAATAACAGGAATCGAGATTCCCCTACCCGGTTTTTGTCCAGAGCAGATGGTAGAAGAAACAGGTTCCCGCTTAGCAAAATGTTGCCAGTGTTTCGGTGTGCCATTCGAGTACAACGCGCTAACAAGGCAGAATTGGGAGACTATAACAATTGAGGATTTAAAGCTTTTGAGTGATGAGGTGGTTGCTGTTAACTGTTTTATTCGATTAGAGTACATTTTGGATGAGACATTGGTTGTTATGAACAGTCCTAGGGATGCAGTTTTAAACTTAATACGGCAAGTAAGTCCTCGTATATATGTCCAAGCAATGAGTAACGGACCTCACAGCTCTCCTTTCTTTGTCAATCGGTTTCGAGAAGCTCTCTCATTCTACTCTACTGTCTTTGATACGTGTGTGGCTATTTTGCCACTCCATGAGCATCATAGATTGATTTTAGAACAAGAAGTTCTAGGTCGAGAGATAATGAACATCATTGCATGTGAGGGCATGGAAAGATTGTTGAGGCCTGAAACATGTAAGCAGTGGCAATCTCGCATTTTGAGGGCAGGCTTCAAGCCCATGTCGACTAACCCCAAACTCGTGAAAAAGTTAAAAAGCAAGGTGAGGGCAGGATATCACAAAGACTTTCTGTTTGTGGAAGAGGGCAACTGGATATTGCAGGGGTGGAAAGGTCGAATTCTTGGAGGCAGCTCTTGCTGGGTTGCTGCGTGACATTCTAACAACGTCAGATAGTAAGTACAATTAGTAATTATTGCTGCTTGCGACATGACAGTCTCCCAACCAGGACATGGTAGAATTTGTTTTAGTGGAATGTTTTTACATATCACCTCTATTCTTTTTTTTTTAAAATGTGACTAAACTTTGTTTAAATCATTCAAGTTTCTTCCTTCTCCAACCCCTATTCAATTTCTTACAACAGGAGACCAAGTGCTGAATTGTTTTTTCCCATGTTTTTTTTTTGAAAAAACTCGCCGGGAAAAGAGTAGATTGTTTTCCCGTTAATAACAATAATCATAAGTTCCTAGGTTTCACTGACACTTGTGGCAGCGGGAATGAAACAGGTCGATCAGTGTCGTATCAAAGGTAGGGAAAGGGGCAACCATCCTCAACCTATATATATACACATATACAGGCTAGACAATAATCCCGTGCAAATGCACGGGAAAGAGCTGTGATTAAAGTTATGTAGATTTGAATAATATGTAATACAAACATGTCTAATATGTAAATTATATTTACAAATACTCCGTTTTTTCTCATAGTTTTTTCAAATATTACAACATAACATACATAGTTTTTTCCCAAATGTCGTTCTCTTTTAAAAGAAGAGATGTTACATAACTTTATCGTTATATTCGAACCAAAGTTCTGTTTTGAAAATAGGAAAAATTGCTTATAATAATCCTTATTAGGGAGTAACATTAAAATTTATATCCAAATATATTAATCTAGTGAAGAAAGTACTACATAAACTTTACATGTCAGATTGTATTATTTACAATTTAATTAGTCTAAATTTCTAAAACAATGGTTCTTTCATGAACCCAAACCAGATATATACTTCGTATATATATACACATACTGAGTATTAGGGTATTAAAGAACACAGTATTATTTCAAGCTAGCAGGCATCTAAATCAAAAGTAGAAGATAACCCACTGGAGCTTCGAGTGGGTGCCGGAGAACAAACCGGGCTAAGTGAACCAGACCGGACTTCCTTCTTCTTCTTCGTCTTCCAATCGGCAGAAAACGAGACCAACTCAGAGGCTGAATGAACGAACCTTGTGAGGATCCTTGCCTTGATGTATCCTCTTTTTGGTGGGGGCGGTCGGCTTGACTTGCTCAAGGCTTGTTCCATCTTTCCCAGATTTTCTATGGTTAGCAAGAAATTTAAGATGGAGCTAGCTAGTAATAAAATAATATGCTCTGTTCTGGTTCTCCAAGAGCAGAGGAAATAAAGTATCTTGGCTGGTCTTTCTTGGGTGTGCTACTACAGACAGGAGAATTGGGGACAAATTTATACCCCACAAAATAGGGACTGTTGAATGATGTCATTGATTCCGTACTATTAAGGTTTTGTTTTGTCCCATAAATTTCATACTGCACTTGGATGAATCTAAATTCATGAGTAAAGGGCCATTTGAATCTATTTATTAAAACTGCTACTATTCCTTCAGTATAAACAGATATTGGAAATTTGGAATGTTTAGGTAGAAATACCTAATTATTTTCGGGTGCTCCAAAATGAAGTAGAAGTAGGATCAATTCCAAATACGCCTAAATTAGAGTGAATCTTGGACACTTGTAAATACTATTAGGCTATTTCGAAGGAGGTTATCCGGCTCTCTTTACTACCTCAATGAATTCAATCATATACCATTATACCCTTTAGTTCTTCCATCCTATTAAGAGGGCAGGTTGAGGGACTAACGCAATTATTAAGAAAAATAGTGTTACATGATTTATATTGAATTGAAAAAGTCTAAATAAATTAAAAAGGAAATACAATTTTACACATTATCACATATGATATGTGACAAATTAAGCGGCACCCATGTAAAAGGTGAAACCAGACAAAATAGAGGGCAAGAATGTTTTTGCTTATGATAAAGTTATTCTAATGCCCTTAAATAATGGATGGATTCTCAAATGAACACGCAATATTTTACATATCGAATCTGCCGAATCATGTCTACCTGTAGTTTAGTTTGCAGTTGAATGGTCTCCATAGAGCTGAAGATATGATTCTAAGGGAATAACTAGCTAGCTAGTATAATCTAGAAGGCATTCCATTGACCAGTTATAGCTTTGAAATCGATTGGTTTGCAATTAAATGGCTCCATATTAATTAGTTATTATAATCAATAGAAGAAATAACTGAGTAGTGAGTTAGGTTATATTACTATATTAGTTATATAATAGTAATATATTCTTTTACTTGCTCTTCTCTAAAAAATAATCATATGAGATTTTCTTGAATAATAATATTAAACTTTAATCGATGTACTGAGACCAGATATGACTCACTAAATGAACTAACCGTTGGGCATTAGTCTATTACCCAAGGGCAAGCATCTTCAATTCTTCTTAGTAGCCACATCATTCCAATCAATGGTTCCTTTATAAAATGTAATAGGAAACAGTTCAGAATTTTAATATAGCACTTTATTATTCCGTCATATATTTCGTGTGTGAACAACACATTTCTCCTCACGACCAGACATTTCGTCTATGATCTCGATCGTATGTCATTCATTTTTTATGGGTTCGTGATTGTCACTTTTTATAATTATCCTCATTTTATCGTACTATATATCCTAGGGGACTCACACCATGATAATGGATCAATTTGACTCTCATAGCATGCTAAAACCTAATGGTCCATCCTAAATAGGGCTGGGGAAAAACTCCCGACTCCCGATCCCGACAATCCCGATAATCCCGATCCCGACAATCCCGATCCCGACTAGTCGGGAATTTTTCCCGATCCCGACTAAGTCGGGACGGGACCAGGATTTTTTTTAAAGTCGAGATCGGGAAAATCCCGACATCCCGAGATTATATATATATATATATATATATATATATATATATGTATAGAATTATATATGAATATATAAAAAATGAATATACATTTATAAAAAATGAATATGTATCTAAATAATTTCATATCTTTTTTAATTACTTATTCCTTACATAGATTAATCTTTTACTACGAGTATCTTACAATATCAAACTTCTAAAACTATTCGGCATTTGTCCCAAAATGAATATTCGGGATCCTAACTAAATAGAGATTATTCTTGATCCAGACAATCTAAATCACAACAATATTACAAATTTTGCGGTTCTGATGAACCCTTTAAAAATCATGATCGAGACTAAGATTTTTTTCTTTAGTAAATAATCATAATATGTATTTATACATTGGCCACAAAGTTTATGAACGAGTCTACTTAGTTTTGAATTTTAAATAATATACGTTACACATTCTTCTTTTAGTGATTTTTATATAATGTTTGAAGTAAGTTTCACTAAGCCTTGATAGCTTATTAAAAAATTATACTATTAATTAATTGAAGTTACAAATAAAAATTATTCTAAAAGTATGTACTAGTGTGAATTTGTGATGATAATTATTACAATAAATTTTATAAGTAGATGATGATAAATATGGTATAACAATGAACAAAGAGTAATCTTGAAACCATTAAATATCAAAGTTAGTGTTTAACTAAAGAAATTACATAATTTTATGTTTGATACTTCATTGTCGGGATTTAGCGGGATTAAGTGGGATTCCCGATCGGGATCCCGACTTAATCGGGATTTTAATGTCGGATCCCGACTTAATCGGGACGGGATACGGGATCCTCTTGTAGTTTGACTCGGGATCGGGACAGGATCGAGATTCGGGCAATCAGGATCGGGATCATCCTGATCCCACCCCTAATCCTAAATGTTAACTTGATAAAAGAAATAACTCAGGATATTAATACAACATTTTATTACTTAGTAATTTTTTAGTGTGAGACTTCAAATGTTTTGTGGTTAAAATTAATTAAGGAAATCAAACAAGTGAAGAAATCGATTTATAATTCGAGTTTAGGTGCTAAGGATGTTTTTACTTGGACTGTAATTTGCTTGTCGGTTTGGTCTGGTCTGATCTGGTTTGCTCTGGTCTGAACTGGTCTGGTCTGAACTAGTCTGGTTTCTCTGTATTTTTATAACTACCCAAGTCTTGTCTGGGACAAAGGTAAAAACATCCTAAACTAGTATCTTTACCCGTGCCGTGCACGGGATAAAACGATTTTGTTTTAATTTTACTATATATAACTGACATATGTAAACTTGTCATATGCATGAGTAATTATAACTAACGGAAAATCATTTATTTAGTCGATTTTAACTAATTATGTAAACTTGTCTCGGTCTATATTTTCCAACTAAAAGAGTCATTTTTTTACAACTATCGGCTAACATTATCTATGTTAGCCGAGAGACTTCTTTATTCTATTTGTTTTGCTTTATTTATTTCTCATGCATTGGATGTTTATTTTGTTTTGGTTGTGCTGCGTTTTTTCCAGCAAAAAAAACTCTTGAAACTAAGACAGGGGATCGGATCAGGAGTCGTGTCTGCAAGTCATAGGCTCAGGTAAGCCCAAAGCGGGATCAGCGAATTATATGGCTTCTACGGAGGTGATTAATTCACAGTCTGGTCCTTGGGCGGACGGTAGACAGGAGACTTGTTGTCACTTTGTAACCTGTTTTGGTTTGGCCGTTTTGGTTATGATAAGTTAAGCCAGTTTCTTTTAAAAAAAAACTAAAAGAGCCATTTTTTTACAACTCTCGGTTGCATCAAATGAACATTATCTTCTCAACCATCTTTATCTAAATAAAATAACAAATTGCTCAATACTTATTTTTATCCATTAAATTCCATCTGTAGCTTGTTGTTTTTCAAAACCAAGAACTACTCATGTTTGTAATGTATTTATTTAATTATTATGGGTGTGGTCATTTTTTAAAGATATATATTAGCCCTTCAAGGATTTTGAATTGAGCAAATTAGCATAACAGGCTTGTTGCATAACACGATTGATAGTGGTCGATTTATTTTTCATTAGATTGATTTAAAAAAAGTGTTATTAAACGAAGAAAGGTTGAATGCTTTAGAGTTTTAGTAGACAATTTTTATCTAGAAGGTCAACTGAATTAAATCTATAAAAGATACTCACGTCAAGTGGTAGGTAATAATCGAAACATAAACATGTCAAACTATGCAATAAAAAAATATAAAATAAAGATGCCCCGTAAAATAGTAATATATTAATGTTACATTTGGTAAGTAAAATAATTACCCTTTATACAACCTAGCTTATTTATCTAGTTGTTAAACATCACTTTTAGTATCACTATATGATTGTTATATATGTAATTATTAAATCTTTCAGAGACATGAAACTCTCGACCAAAATATATTAAGATTTATGTTAA